AACCACAAAAGATCAGTCACACATCCATATCTTAAACGGAAGGCCGTATTTCATTTAAAAAACGGCGCGATCAAGCGAGGAATGTGACGTCCAGATTCTCTTAGAACAGTTAAGATGAAGGGGAAGAGGCCTCGCTTCTGTCCTCCTCGCTTCGGTTAGTCCTCTCCAGGGGGCCAAGCGAAGAAAAGAAGGAATGTGAATCGCAACGTCACATATCTCGTCTGTGCCGTCGGCCGTGTTCAATCGCGCAACTCCTTTATAAAAATGCAGCCACCCGGTAGAGATATTGGGGTATGAGTAATGTTTTATTTTTTTTCATTTCGCAACACCCCCCCCCCCCCCCCTTCCCCCCTCCAACCTTTTTTTGTGAGCTCTACACTTCGGTTCATCATCTTTTTGAGGTCGCTGGAGTCACGAATGCTTTGTTGCAGGTGAAGAAACGCAGGGCAAGCTTTTATCGCGAAGCCCACCACCCGTTTCTCTTCGGGCCTCACCTCCCTTGCGGTGTCTGCGCTGCGAAGCGAAAAGGCTGCTGGGTTTGGCGGGTGAAGCTTGTCCGGCATCTTAACCTCCAACAGGGTATGTTCTGTACAGCTTATGTGAACGGCCTGCTGTTGTTAGCAGGAGCACTTGGAGACTCTGCTGGCCGCGTGAAATGTCGTGTCATGAACTTCTCGCCCTCGGGTTATGAGATGATCTCTGGACACCAAACGTCCGTAGAAAATATACTTTTCATTTGTGTTGGAAAAACAAAGTTTGGCACATACCGCAACATATAAAAGCATTCAGAAAAAAAAACATATCGGAAAATGCTTTTCAATTGTGTTGCAACGTGTCACGTTCTTGGTTTAGCACTTGTAATTTCCAGGCGTAACGTTCTCAAGCTCGGACTCTGGGTTTCTTCACCACTCTCATCCACTATAAATGGTCTTACCCCATTGCCTCCACCTATTCCTCTCCACCCCTTTGCCTGCTCTCCAGCTCACTGACTCACTGAACCCCTGACTTTCCCCGTCGGGTAGGCCTGGGTTCGCAGAGTATGGGGAATGACTGGTAGCGGGAAAACTGAATGGGCGTATAGGTCACGTCATGTCACGTCATGTCAAAATTTCCGCTAAATTTAGCGGGGAAACTGAATTTGTGCGTTGATCAAGTGGCACGTAGTGATGCGACGTCATTTTCCCCGCAAAAGTTTTTGTGGAAGCGGAATTGATGATGAGATCACGTGAGGTCAATTTTCCGATACATCTAGTGGGGAAACAAACTTTGCGTAAAGGTCAAGTGACGATGTCATGCGACATCACGTTTTCCGCTTAATTTAGCGCGGAAACTGATTTGATGTATGGGATTACATGACATGAAGCCACGTGACGTCAGTTTTTTCGCTAATTTAACGGAGAAATTCAGGGTTACTCTTTTTGAGGCTTTACTTGACCAGAAAACCAAGCCTATAGACGTTTCACTTTGAAACGCCGCCTCGGCGACGCGAAAAACTGTACTACCTTAACAAAGCCCCTGCTGACACTGACCTAAAAAAAGGGTGAATTCTTGTTACCTGACGAAAAAAGTGGACAGCAAATGTGACGTCGTGCTACTCAAAGGTATGCAATCTGTGTCTCAAGAAGTAACATTTTTCTGTGATGACGCAGATTCGCTAACGCAGATTCGCTAAACTCTGCGAAAAAAGAGAGGACGGAACGACAAAATAGTGTGAATTAAGAACGTTTCTTTCAATAGAAAGGCTAAAGAAATGTTACCGGTATAAAGCAAAAATACGGAGAAAGCTGTCTGGCTCAGCTAATCGTCTCCCGCTGATCGGGGCAGCTTTAATAACAAGCCGCATTAAAATCTTCATACATGTCTCCCAAGGCGAAGAATTTGCCAAGCTTTGCACACTAATCGACCCGCTACAGTGTTCGAACCAACGCGTTATTTTTTAATAACGTACTAACGTTCTCTTTAGAATGCCAAACGACAAACGAGTAAAGTAAGCTCGTTATTATTTTACAGTATCCCCCGTCAAATTGCGTTATTTGTTACTCGTTAGTTTTGAATTAAAATAGCCGCATGATTGAAAACAAAGTATCTTTTTTTGTACATTATGAAAAAGTGGCAAAAACACAAACAAAGCTTTGCAAATGTGTGGCGTCATTACAAACTCCTTCGGAAGACTCTTTTAACGCTCCCACGACCTGGCCCAAAAGGAGCGAGATTATTGCCGCGCGGAACCCTATAAGCGTCCTTGGTCCAGTCTTTGTGTATTAGCTGCTAAGATCACCGTTGCCGTACTCTGAGAAGCCATCGCGCTGGAAAGAGGCATCCGTTCAGAAGGCAGCAGTCTGCCGCCGCTCGCCGAATAGTTTCTCAGCGTTCCTATATACTCCAACTAATACTATCCTTCCCCTAAAAAAAAAAAATTAAAAAAAAATTTTGTTCTGTCAACAACAAAAATAATAATCTCTCAGTTTGGAAGTGTGGACGTTCCTACGCTTTGAACCAAAATAAGTGTGTTAGCGGTGGCCCGGTGCTGACGTGTCGTTAATTGGAAAGCTATGTTGGATTGTGAAGGAATAAAATAACATTTATTTTGCCGGATTAGCTTTAAATGCATAAAGAGGTATACTTCGCGTCCGATACGGGGCGTGCATGCGGTCGTTCTTTTCAAAGGGGTTTCTTCTTCCCAGGCAAGTGCTAGAAGCAAAGTTCAGTTTTCCGAAACGCGGTCGCAAAGCGTCGCGTGTTCGAGGATACCGTAAAATCCTCTATTTTCTCGTCCCCTATTTTTCGCGAATCAGTCACAGAGGACGTGATCGCGGTCACTAAGTTTCGCGAATTCCAAACGCCTGCATTGAAACTCGTAAAGATAGAAATTTTCGAGTGCCGTTAAATTTTGCGAATTTTTCAATTCGTGAAATTCCAAAAAATTAAGGGCTCCCGAGCATTAAGGGTTTTACCGTATGCAAAGAGAAAGTGGTCTGCTATTTGCGCAAGAGTTGTGGTGACGTCAGAACGACGCAGTGCTCTGATTGGCTTTGATCGAAAGGATAGTTTGTAGACCTCAATGCTAGATGGTTCGAGGTTGACCCACTCTTGTTCTTTAATCAGCCAATAAGAGCTCGGCATGCCGACATCATCGCAACACCTGTGCATGAATCAGACGAATTTGCGCTCCGCATACATTACACATCCTGCCGACAGTGCATCTTTTATTAGCCTGATCAATTCAATCTGAGTGTCTGTGTATGTATTTCTGGCGTTTATTTAAATTTTAGCTTTTATAATTGTGTGTTGTTTCGAATCGTTTATTTATAGTCTTGGTCGCTTGCTTCTGCTGCTTCTGTGAAATTTCAATGTATAGGGTGTCGCAAAAAAAAAAAAAATACAGGATTTTTTTTTTCACCGCAAAAATAAACTAGGCATTGCCGAACGCTCATTTTCCACCCAAAGGTAGCGCTAGAGGTCACAACCAGATTCCAAAGTTTCAGCCCGATCCGATATCTTATTCAAAAGTTATAAGTGATTTTCTGAAAAGTTCATTGGGAAAATGGCGGCCGACTGAGTTTTCGAATACTCGGGGCTCTATGGCGCCAGAAACCAAAACCGGGCGAAAATGAGCTCCTTTTTCCCATTGAAATTTTCAGAAACTCTCTGATAACTTCTGAATAAGGTGTCCATTCAGGCTGAAACTTAGGAATCTGGTTGGTACCTCTAGGTCTACCTTTCGGCAGAGAATGAGCGTTCGGCGATGCTTAGTTTATTTATGTGGTAAAAAAAAACTGTAAATTTTGTTCTGTGACACCCTGTATAAATGTGATCTGTACCCAACTCCTCTTCTGTAATGCCCTGGCACTGCTGAGTTAAGAATCACCCTGAAAAAGTGTATTAATGGCGAACTTCATGGAGGTGGTTTATTATAGACAGCTGTCGTATACTGACTGTGAAACACAAAGTAACGACAAACTAACGTAAATGTAACGCCTCTTAGTCGTGCCAAGTAACCTCACCGGTATTACGCTACATTTGTAAAATAGTAAGGCAGCTCTGTAACGCGTCAGCCTTCTTCCAAGTTAACGACTAACGCTATTTCATATCATATTTTCGGTAACGGGCACACCGCTATGCTGAAGATAAAATTATTGATAGTAATTTCAAATAGTAAAAAAAAACATCAAGTCTTTATCCTTCAAGGTCTTTTAATTCATAAAATGCACTATAGGGAATTGATGTGTCAAGTGGTGTAATTTTTATTGCAAATTTAGCGGGGAAACTGAATCCTTGAATAGGTCATGTGACCTCAGGTCACGTGATGTCGATTTCCCCCGCTAAATTTAGCGGGGAAACTGGATTTGTGTTTAGGTCACGAGACTCGAAGTTTCCCGCAAAATTTAGAGAGTAACTTATATAATGTATTGGTCACGTGACGTCAATTTCGCACTAAATTTAGCGGGGAATTTGAATTAATGTTTTTGCCAGCCACATGATGTTAATTTTTCCGCTAGGTTTAGCGGGTAAACTGACGTGGGGACGTGTAGGTCACGTGCCGTCGATTTCCCGTAGCTGTCTAGGTGACGTTACGTCACGTGACGCCACTTGATCGCAAACTTTAGCGAGGAAAATGCATTGGTGTAGAGGTCACGTGACGTCAATGTTGCCGCTATATTTAGCGGGGGAGCTGAGTCGGTCTGTATGACCCGTGACGACAAGTCACGTGACATCCATTTTCCAGCAAACTTTAGATCATGAGTTCAATTCGGGTTCTCCCGTGTATCGTGATGTCAATGTTTCCGCTCAATTTTACGGGAAACGCACGCAAGGACGTTCAGACAAAGTTTTGAGATCTATATAAAGTTTATACTGTTTGTCCTTCTGCCTTTTTTGTGCATTGCAATTAACCAGTCGCATTGTCGTTTTGCTATTCACAAGACAGTAGCCAGCATGCCAATCATCGAGACCGCAACCTGGCTATAGAGCAGTAACCATATTGTATTCCATTCACGCAGGCGTCAGAAAGAGAAAAGGTGTGGGTGCTGCGTTCCTCCATAGCATTGACGGCCGCCATGTCGTCCGTCGTGGCCATCACTGTGGACTCGGCGTACGGTCTATGCCTCCTTGTGGGAGACATGGTGTACGTGATGCTGTTCCCGCAATTGCTGGCGGCTGTGTACTTTCCTTCTCTCTGCAATGCTTACGGGTCCCTCGCAGCCTTCGTGGTCGGGCTCACCCTCAGGTCCATCGGGGGCGAGCCCATACTGGGGATTCCGGCACTGTTCCGCTACCCGCTCTTCGACGAAGAGACCCAGCTCCAGCTTTTCCCGATCAAGACGGTGGCCATGCTTGCCAGTCTGGCCACACTGGTCATCGTGTCCGCTGTCTCCAGGGTGGCGCTCTTGTCGCCAAGTTACGACCTGTTGCGCCGCCAGTTCACCGGAGAAGCCCAGGTCAAGGCGGTACCCGTGGAAGAGACTGTGGACACTGAGGGGGATGACCAAGAACGTCCCGCTAATTGCACGAGCCGTACACTAAACTCCCCAACGGAAGCCTACAGTAGTGTGTAGGGGACCCATTCGCGTATTGGGAAAGCAACGTGAAGTCCATGAAAATATTCCATGTCACCAATTGGCCTCTTTCTTCTACGTCACAGTTTCGAGCTTCATCGACGAAACACGGCGGTCTCCTTACTTTTCTGAACGACGCAGCCCAATACCACCTATAGGCAGTATTCACTGGACGCCATATTTGTGGGTGCAGTTTAGAGCGCATGCTCAGAACGAGCTCACATTAGTTGATTGCTAAGACCGGCAATCTTGATGGTGCGGAATGCACGTTGCGAAAGAACTGTGGAAGCTCGCTGTCAGCACGCGCTCAGCTGTAGCGCACACATCTATGGCCGCCAGTGAATGTTCCCTATACTTCGTTCACCCTTAAATTGACACCAGATGCTCCGCCTTCAGCGCGAGCTTTCTCCCCTCGCTAAAGCAAGAATGAACGCGCAGGCACGCGCAACGAAAGCACTGCGATAGCCTGCGAGCTCGCGCTGAAGGCGGAGATTCTGGTCTCAGCTTAAGGGTGAACGGAGTAAAGAAATAAATGCGTGGTGGCTGAATCTAGTCCACCTCCCCTTCAAGGCCACTGCGGAGCACATATGTTGTGCGAGTGCTACGTTAGTGTGCAGCTGGAACACGCGCTCACTGAGAGAAACCACGGCTCCCAGCTGAACACTGACACAGCTATCTTGTCCAATATATGGCCTGCGCTGGCCCTCAATAGGGAACGCAGAAACTTCAGCACTGCGGCTTTGCATCTATAATAGTTTTCTGTTTTCTGTCGTTATCACTCAAGTAGTTACCGCATCTGGTATGCGCGGCAAAAAACCAAAAAAAAAAAACAAAAAAAAACATTTCATCCTGGAATAACCGAGAAAATATAGGTAAGGCAAAACAAAAATTTGTGACAATCACACATTTTTCCTAAACCCCTTCCAGAGGCGTGGAGAGATTAAAGCAATGCTTGAGCGCATGCAAGAAGTGACGACGTTCAAGATGGTTGCGCCTTTGTGGAAAGGCTAAGGCTAAGAGTTCAGTCGGAGCTCCTCCAAACCTTCTCCTTTGTGCAGAGCGGTCACTGGAGGGAAAAGAAGTGAGGAGTTTCCTTTGAACTCTTAATCTGTCACCAACTATTAGCCCCACGAAGATTGCTTAATACATAGAGTTAATACAATAATATAGAGTGAAAGGTCCCATACATTTGCGTGGCGTCCCCTTACGGCGAACCGGGGTGTCGTCACGGCCGAGGACAGAATTTTTTCCCAACTCGCCCCATTCGACCGATGATGGCTGTGACGGCGTCAGCTGTCGGCGCGCTTGTTTCTATTCAAATATTTTTGTTCGCGTTTTTCTTCGGAAGTGCTAATTTTCACATGTGGCTTTATTGAGGTATGGCCTATATCTACGGCTGAAACTTCAACTAACATTTCAGGCAAGGTTGACGGAGCAGGCAACACATGAATCGCATCTGGTATATGAAAATGGAGAAATATCACCACAATTGCAGGAGTATCACTATAGATTTTCATCTTACACAATCAATGCTTGTGATGGTCTGAATGAATCGGCAGGTTATGTATACTATATCGTTTGTTTTGTTTTTGTGCGTAAGTACAGGGGCAAAGTAAAAGAAAACAAGGAACATTTATTCATGTACATGGCTCGCGTTTGACCTTTGCTGGATTCGGACACAATTTCGATGGACTCCACTGGTGGTATCTGTGGACTTGCTTATATCATCTCTCAAGTAATGTATAACAAACGCAAGCGAAAGCGCCTAGCCCGTTATTAGTCCCTTAGGCTCTAAAATTTTGATGTTAGCTTAATCGAATTGTCCTGACGCTGAACTACCAGAAACTTTTCTCACGTAAACTGTCACCCTTCACAGGTTCCACGTGTTCTGCTACTAGTGTAGCATCTACCACTGGAAAGCCCCTCGAATGCTTGCTCTTCCTCCTGTTCTTTTCTGCTGTCAAAGAGTCCAGTTGTAGACAGTTTGGAGTCCGAGGAACCTTTTGGGGACCTGCAGCAGTGTCCCTTATAATTGGAAATGATAATTCAAACTAAGCGGTGCATTTCCGAATACGCAAAGCAGGAATAAGAAAATAATGTAAAGAAAAAGCATAAATATTCCAAATTACGGTACATATTTTGTTAGTTCAATACATCTCATACAAGCAACTGGGGCATTTCTGCCGTTCTTCCTGCTACCATAAGAACTAATTTCTAGTAATTGTGCATCGTATAAAAAATAAAACATGCATTCATACGTGTACGAACCATATCATTTGTTGGGAGCTGGGACGAAACGAACCAGCTAGGACAGCGTTTGAATTCAAACTGTTCTTATTGCTGGCGCTTCAGAGGCAGCTGAACGTCGTCGTCGTCGTTCATGGCGTAGGCTGGCTTTGAGTGTCACTACAAGGCTCCCCTCTGTGGAGCCGTGGGTCCTGGAAGGGTCCATGTGATGTGTTTGGTTCTTGTTGCAAGCGCCGAAGATGGTGACGGGGCAGGAGCGGTTGCAGGGGATGCAGGAGGTATGGCTTCTAGGTAGGCCGGCTTGACACGGTCGGTCGTGACTACGTCACGACGCCCGTTTATGTCTAGTGTAAAGGTCTTGGCTTGCCGATCCAGCACTCTGAACGGGCCGTCGTAGGCCGGTTACAATGGTCGACGAACCTGGTCGCGAAGTAAGAAAACACGCAAGCATGTCTCAAGGACTTGGCTCACGAATACGTCTCGATGGCCCCGTTGAGCTGGAAGCACAGGCCTGAGGAGACGAAAGGTTTTTCGTAAGTCGTCGACGTAGCCGGTGGGGTCTTCACTTGACTCGGAGGGAAACGAAGAGAAGAATTCGCCAGGTAGGCGCAGTGGTGTGCCGTAGACTAACTCGGCTGTAGAACAGCTAAGATCTGCCTTGAGCGCTGAGCGAAGGCCTAGGAGTACGAGGGGAAGATGGTCTGCCCAACGTTCCCGCGGCTCGTAGGTGGCGAGAGCTGCCTTCAACTGGCGGTGCAGCCGTCAGTTGAAGGCAGCTCTCGCCACCTATGCCGTTGGCCGAGGGATGATAGGAGGCGGTGTGAATGTGTCCGACGCCCAGGACGGTGACGAATACGGCAAAAAGGGAGGATTGAAATTGTCGTTTCCTGTCGGTGGTGACTACAGCAGGGCAGCCGAAACGGGACACCCAGCCGTCCATGAAGGCTGTAACGACTGTCTTTGCTGTCATGTCAGGGACGGGGAATGCCTCGGGCCATCTGGTGAATATCTACACACGTCAGCAAATAGCGGGCTCCCCGTGATGATGGAGGGGTTCCCAATAAGTCTATGTGGACGTGTGCAAACCTGGAGTCCGGTGGTCGGAAGGGTGAGATGGGGGTGATTGTGTGTCACGTGATCTTGACGCGTTGGCACGCACGTTCGTGCCCAGCAACGGACATCCGCGTTCATGCTGGACCAGAAAAAACTAGCAGTTATTAATTTCTGTGAAGCACGGATTCCTGGGTGGCTCTTGTTGTGCAGGTTGTTGAAAAGAGCGCGACGAAATGCTGGTGGTACGAATGGTCGGGACACACCAGTTGTCGTCTCGCAGGTAACTGGTGTTGTAGAAAAGGGGACAGGAACGTCAGCAAGCTTCAGTGATCCAAGAGGAGGAGGAGGCGGAAACTTTATTATTTTTCCGGGATCAGGTATTGGGGGTGGTGGAGGCCCAGAGGGCCGCCGCGATCGCCAGGGCCCGGGAGGTGGTTAGGACTTGGGCTGACTCCTCCGGGTCACGCAACATCTGCTCCCAGAGGTGAGGGGAGGGAAGAGGGGGGTATGGGTCTGCGGGGCATTCGCAAAGGGAATGGTAACGAGTGTCGAATGCCCCGCAGGCAGGACAGGCGGGGGTGGTAAAGAGGTGTGGGTGAGTGTGTATTAGTTGTGTTCGGTGTGGGAAAGTGTGTGTTTGTAAGAGGCGCAGCATGTGTGCTGCCTCTTGGGAGAGGTGGGGGTGCGGAGGTGGGTATTGGCGGCGGAGGAGGCGGTAGTGTAGGGTAATATCCCTGTATTGCAGGAGGAAGGTAGGCTTGCCTGCAGGGGTGTCGCGTGTAGGCGCAGTTGAAACGGCGGCTCGGTCGATAAGTTCGCGAGCACGATCGTGCACCATCTCATTAGCGCCTACGCCTGTGTGGGCTGGTGTGCACAGCAGGGTCACGGTGTCGGATGGGGGGTTGTTGGTGAGAATTTGGAAGGCCATGGGGGAGGTATTGCCGCGAATAAAATTGCGGATGGACTGCTGAGAATTAGATAGGACGAATTGGGGGGTGGGGCTCTGGGCGAGCGCAAGGGCAATGGGCGCTTCCTCCGCCGCCGTTGTGTTTGTAGTGAGGATGGTGGCCGCCGTGACGTTTGGTGGTGGATGTTGGCCGAGAACAGTTACACAGCGTGCGGGTTTGTGAGGGTAGGGTGTGGCATCAGTGTATAGTGTGCATGGTGATGGTGGGTATAGTTTGGCGTGGATGTTGGCTCGTGCTAGTCGCCGGGCTTTATGGAAAGTTGGGTGCATGTGGCGAGGGATTGGGTGGACTCGAATGCGGTTACGTATGTGCGGTGGAATGGGGAGTGGGGGATTGGGATGGGGGGGGGGGGGGGGAGTATGTTTATAGTGTTAAGAATGTAGTGCCCTGTGGGTAAGGTTGCGAGGCGGGTGAGTTGGGACATGTGGTGGGCGTCTAGGTGTTCGCGTACTGTGTTGTGTATGCCGAGGTCGAGCGAGCGGTGCGTTGCGGGGTGAGGGGGGAGTAGGAGAGCATGTCTATATGTCTTCCTGAGGAGCGCATCAAGGGAGTCGAGTTGGGTGGGTGTAAGGTTAAGGTAGGGTAACTGGTATAGGATACGGTTGAGTAGAAAACTGTGGACGAGTCGGAGGCGGTCCTGTTCCTTGATGCCGTGTTTTCTAGTGGCGATCCTTCTAATGAGGTGTGAGGTTTGGGTAACATATTTCTTTACGTACTGGAGGGTGGGTGCGGGTGATCTGTTGTGTGTGAGGGTGAGGCCTAAAAGTCGAACTTGTTGTGTGTGTGGTATTGG